AATAGACACATGAAGAAATGCTCAACCTCCCTAGCCATAAAAGAAATGCAAATCAAAACAACATTGAGATACCACCTCACCCCAGTTAGAATGACACATTAATTTCTTATCTATTGTAAAGATCCTAGATTCTTCCAAAATGCCATTCCATTGAAATGACAGGAACAAACATGGATGAGTCTGAGTATTAAAGTACTAAAATGGTCACACAGACAAATTCTCAGAACACTTCCATTAAATGTTTCTATATTTCATTATGAACTGAGTGTCTTCAAGGGCTGGGGTTCTGGGTATAATAGGACATGATTTCTGCCCATAAACAGCCCAAGACTAGTGAAATACTACACAGAAATACACCATTATATAATAGCCTAACAAATGCTACAATAACTATATAACCACAGTGATAAACCTCAGAAAACCAACACCTGAACTGGGCAGGAAAGAAGGTAGGGGGAGAGAGATGTGGAAGGAAGGAGGTGGTAAACAAGTTGTTAGAAGTTAATTTGGTTGTATTCAAGAGTGCCATGAGGATAAGAAGTCATGAGGCCCAGAGAAGTGGATCAGGAAGTGTTTTTATTGGCTACTAAGGCATTATTAGTATCCTGTCTTTAAAAGATAAGAAACTTTATGAACAAGAAACAAAATGATGTATTGTGTGCTTCACAGGCCACAATTTTATGTGTAAAAGTAAAATGGATATCAACTATAGTATAAATGGTGGGCAGGAACAAATAGAAGTTTATAATTATACAGTTCCTATCCCATACAAGAAGCAGTGTTAAATCACTTGGGAAGTAGACTGTGATAAGTTAAAGATGGAAGGCAATCAGTAAATGATCAAAAAGAATTATAGCTACTATGCACAAAGAGAAGATACAATAAAATCTTAAAAAAGTATTCAATCCGGAAGGGATAATAGGGGAAAAACAAAGGAGGGGTAACAATGCTAGATAGGAAATGTACTCATTACCTTACTCATGTAACTGTAACCCCTCTGTACAGTATCTTTACAATAAAAATATTTTAAAAAGTATTCAATCAAAAACAATAAACAAAAAAGGATAAAGAGAACAATGGATGAAGAAGATAAGGAGAAAACAAATAACAAAATGGTGAATTTTAACTTAATTATACTAATATTTCTGTAACATATTAATGGTCTAAACAATGAAAAGGCAAAAATTGTCAGATTAAAAATGAAAGTAATACTTCAACTATATGTGTCTCAAAAGACACCTACTTTAAATATAAAGACACAAACAGTTTGAAATTGAAAGAATGAGAATAGATCTAACACTAATTTTAAAAGCCATTGTAGACATCTGTAATATCAACAGAAAAAGTAGATTTCAGAGTAGACTATTTCCAGAAATAAATAAGCCATTTCATATTAATAATCATATTAATTCATCTGAAAGAACAAAACAATTCTAATCATTTATGTACCTAGTAACAAAACTTCAAAATAGAGGGAGCAAAATGGATAATTATAGTCAAAGGTTTCCATGCCCCTCTCAGTAATGTACAGAACTGGAAAATGAGTTCTTACACAGAAAACTTGACCAATACTATCAACAAACTTTAACTATCTCATATTTACAAAATAATCTAATCAATAACAGCAGAACATACACTGTTTTTAATTATACACAACATTTTAAAAGATGATATTATGGGCCATAAGAAAAATCTAGATAGAGATTGAAAAATTGATAGAGATACTATATATATATTTAATAAAGCATGTGGTTGAACAGATAGAATGAAATTGGAAATCGATTATATAAGCAAATTAGAAACACGTGTGAAACAAACAATCTACTCCTCTAAGCAACCCAAGGGTCAAGGAAAAAGTCAGAAAGAGAACCCAAAAGCACTTTGAACCAAGTGACAATGAAACACAAAATCCTAATTGACTAAATGTTACTAAAGCAGTAAATGGGAGGAAAATTTTGCTGCCTAGAGAAAGAAGGTCTCAAATCAAGACTAGAAGTCACAAGAAACAAGAGAAAGAAGAGGGAATTCAACACAAAATAAGCAAATATAGAAAAAATAAATGTTAGAAAAGAAATAAAATAGAAAACAAAATAATGAAGGTTATTTGAGATGAGATGATCAGTGAAATAAACATTTAGCTTGATTAATGGGGGTTAAGTAAAGAAGAAGACACTTATAATTACAAAAATAAGAAAGATGATGTCACTACACATTAAACTGATATTAAAGGAATAATTAAGGGGATATGATAAATGACCTTGACAACAATTTTACAAGTTGGATTAAATGGACAAAATATTAGGAACATACAAACTAGTAAAACTTACTTGAGGAGAAAAAGACAACCTAAATTATCTGGTAGCTACTAAACACACTAAAGTTGTAAAATTTTCCACTAGGAAAATTCAAAGTCCAGGTAGCCCCACTGGTAATCTCTATAACCTATTTAAGCAAGAAATAAATTCTCTCAGAAAATGGAGGAATAATTTCTGATTCATTCTATGAGATCAATATTACTCTGATACCAAAATCTGGCAAAGCTATTACAAAACCATAGACCAATACAAGTGCAGATGGCAACACTTCTAACACTTTTTAAAATAACCCCAACAAAAACCAAGATTTGTCACATGAAGAAATGAACCACACACACACACACACACACACACACACACACACACACACACACACATATATCAAGTAGAGTTTATCCTGGGAATACAAGTGTGACTAAACACTCAAAATTAATTTATGGGAAGTAGCATTGTGGCTCAAAGTGGTAGAGTGTTAGCCTTGAGCAGAAAAGCTCAGGGATAGCACCCAGGTCATGAGTTCAAGCCCTATGACCAACTAAAAAAAATTAATTTATATAATCTCTTATATTACAGTCTAAAAAAGAAAAATCATCTTCTGTTAATGGATATAATATTGCATTTGACAAAAATCTAACACAAATCTCTTTTTAAAAAATAGCTGAGAAAGCAAGGAATAAGAGGATACTTAATATGATAATGGATATACACACACACAAAAACCAAATGTAACATTATGTTTACTGGTGCCCACTATTAGAAACAAGAAAATAATGTTTGCTCTCATCACTTCTTAACACTATATTGCTGGTTTGAGCAAGTGTAATAAAGCAAGAAGAGATAAAAGGCATTCTTATTCTAAAGGAAGAACGAGAATGCTCATACATTGCTAGTTGGAATGTATATATTAATATAACCACTTTGGAAAACAACTTAGCAATTTTTTACAAAGTTGAATGTATACTAACATATGACCCAGTTTTTCCATTCCTTAGGCAGTTATACAAAAGAAAACACAAATCTATGCAAAGACTTGGACCTACAGCCACGCATGCTGGCTCAAGAGTGTAATCTCCAGCTACTCAGAAAGAAGCAATAGGAGGATGGCCATTTGAGGCTAACCCTGGTGAAAAAGTGAGATTCTATCTGAAAACACAGGCCAGTCCAGGTGTTGGTGACTCACTCCTATAATCCTAGCAACTCAGGAGGCTGAGATCTGAGGATTGTGGTTTAAAGCCAGACTAGACAGAAAGGTCCTCAAGAATCTATTTTCAATTAACCAGCAAAATGCCTGACTGGAGGTGTGGCTCAAGTAGTAGAGTGCTAGCCATGAACAAAAAAGCCAACCAAGAGTACAAGGCCCTGAAGTCAAGACCCAGTGTTACACACACACACACACACACACACACACACACACACACACACACACACCCATATACACATGCTGGGTAAGGTAGGGGTTGGTAGAAAGAGAACCAGGTGTAGTACAAGCCTGTAATCCCAGCTACTTAGAAGGCAAAGGTAGAGGTCCAGGGCTGGCCCCAGGCAAAACTAAAGCAAAAAGGGCTGAAGTATGGCTCAAGTGGTAGAGTACTTGCCTAGCAAACATAGAGCAGGGAGTTCAAATCCCAGGATTACCAAAAAAGAAAAAAAATCCATCTGGGATATAAATGTGCATAGCAGCTTTGTTTTATAATTACCAAATAGAACCAACTGAAATACTCACCAACAGCTGAATGGAGAAGCAAACTGTCACAAAAACACACAACTAAATACAATAATATTGAACCAATACAACAATAAAAATGTATGACTGTTAGCCCTCACAACAATATAGATGAAAATCAAAATAATTATCTGATTGGAAGAAACGAGGCAAAAAACGCATATATTCTACAATTTCTATAAAACAATAGAAAATAGAATTTAGCGTGTAATGTTTGGGAATGCATGGAAACGAACAGGAACAGTGATTACCAAGGGATCTAAGAGAACTTCTGGGGAGTGATAGATATGTTTACTACCTTAACTGTGATGATGGTTTCCCAGGTGTATCCTGAATGGAAACTCTTCAGTCTTACAAAGACAAACTGAAATAATATTTCATAGGGAGTACTTTAAAATGACCTAATTGAATACTTTGCCTCCAGGAACATATTTTATTTCAAAGTCAGGGTTAATTTACTTACCCTTTGGAAGCCACTGGAGGAATTGAAAATGCTTACATCGCTTAAGGATGTGCAGATGTCTTTAACATTTTCAACAACTGGGACAGGAGTGGTACAAGTGGGAGGCTCCAGCTCCCAGAGCAAAAGAGAAGCAAACAGGAGAGAAAGAGAAGCAGGAGCACAGCTGACCCACCAACAGCCTTCTCTTCCTGTTAAGACAACCATGAGCCTGCAGCACAAGTTTTGTTCAACATTCCCTGACATACAAAGGAACCAATCACCTAGAGCATCTCTAATCACTTCTAAGTAGACTCTGCCTCACTGGGAAATACCAAAATAAAGTGAAAAACACCTTTTTCACATTGGACACTTAAATCTGTGTAGCTGACTTCTCAAGAAACTGCAGTGGCCTAACATAACCAGCTCTGTGTTTTAAACCAGCCATTCAGAAGGCAGCACAGTACAGGGCTGGAAGAATATCCAAAGGAACAGAGAGGCCAGAGGACCACCTTGAGAGAATCAAGTCCCAGAAACCAAGGAAAAAAAGGATTTCAGAACTCATAATGGACAATAAAGAATGGTAAAGTCCATCCCACAGACTGGGATAGATAGTCGGAGAGAGTAGTTATTTTTGAAGCTCTGGGAAGAAAGCCCAGACATTCAAATGTTCTTCGTACGAGATAACCATACTCTGAGACTGACCATGCATCTTTGGGAGAGCAAATGAAGAAAAAACAAATTGGCTAACCCAAACAAGTGATGAGGTGAAAGGGGGTACCCAGCTGCCCTTCCTATCCACCAGCTACCTCTTGAATTGTCTGCCAATCCACATGACAGGATAAGGAATCTCTTACTCCGTTATGATCCAGGATGGCAACACAGGCCTATAATTCTGGGAATCTTCTAAGTCACGAAAAGTTCTTCACCAGATCCTCAAAATCATAATTAAAATAAGATATAGGTCTTCTACCAATACATTTTGCTTATAGTAGTGAACTGGCGTTAGGCCGTGTCTAATCAGCTCTCAGTTTATGAGGAACAGGCCCCTTGCCTACTTGTGAAGGCCATCTAACACTCAACAGAAGCTTCTGGGGTCCTCTACGATTCTGCCATCTTTTAAGGTCAAGATGACACAAATAAGAATGAAAAGAGCTCATTAGTCCCACAATTAAATTGGTCAGGAAGATCTCCAACACATGCGTCACCTGTGCTCCTACATAAAATGCTATTTGGTTTTCTATATCTCTATAAGTATTAAACTTACCAATGGCCTTAATTGATTCTCCTGGAAAAAGTGGAGCTTCTTCCATCTGTGCCAGCTTATTTCCATCCCTTAGAGCCTGGCAAGAAACCAAAGAAGAGAAAATCTCACTTTCTATCTATGTATCTGAGAAGAATCGTGGGGTTCTGTGTTCTTTCTATAAGGCTACAGAAGCGTGCAAAATGTATGCTCCCCACCAAAAAAAAAAAAAAGACAATTTCAAAGCTCAGCATCACAGGACATCATGCTCCGTATTCTAGCAAATTGTTACAACATATTTACATTTCACAGTTAGAAAGCATTAATACAAAAATGGCTTGACATGACAAATACATACTGTATAACTACACAAACAGCTATTATAAGGTGCTTCAAGAATTTGGAAATAAGATCAGAAAAAGGTTACCTTCTGAGCATGAAACTAACACAAATAAAAACATTAGATGTAGGTACCTGGCTGATTGTAAAAATGACCCAGCCTATGAGAACATTTGGGAAACCTCAAAATTAAAATAACTGGAGAATGGTCTTGTGACAATTGGTGTCCCAGCTATATGTGTGTGCATAAGCACAAAGTTCAAAATGTCAAATTCTCCAAGATCTAAAATGTTCTGAGTGCCAACATGATGCCACAAGTGGAAAATTCCACGTCTGAGTTCATGAGACAGGTCATAAAGTGCATGCACATTATAAGACTGCATAAAATCTCCTTCCAGCTGTGTATATAAAGAAGGTGTCTAAGAAACACAAATTTTATGTTTAGAGTTGGGTCCCAACCCTAAGGCATCTCATTATGTATGTGGTAAGTACTTCAAAAAAAATCTAGAAAAAAAATTCAAAAACTAAAACATTCCGGTCCCAAGCATTTTGAGCTATTCAACATTTACTCCTGTCTCTTCTATGAAGAAGCGTCTGTTCATAAGGCATCTCCCATGCCAACTCTTTTTTGCACTAATTTCATAGTCACCAAGAAAACTGCTAATGAATTACTAGGTTTCCTGGCTGCATTGATGCTAGGAGACATTTCTATGACCAGACTAGTACTCTGGACCAGGAGCTAGTTTCTTGCTGGCCTTCTTAGTGTCAGATGACTCAGAAGAGGTCAGAAAATAGTGCTCTTAAATTACAAAGTTAGGAACTGGAACCTAAATTTGGAGTCTTTTCCAAGGTATTCTGTGAGACGCTATCAAGGAAATGAGCCAATTTCTCTTTGGCAAGTCTGCCATAATGTATCACAACAAGAATAAGGTGACCAAAACCCTAGAAATGTTTTATAGCGCATTAATTTCCCAAAAAATGTAAATAGGTCTTTAAAGTCTGAGAAATCCTGGGTTAAACAAAAGAAAAGCTGTATTTGTTTTAGTGAGACAAGTCTTTAGTTTGTTAATGTACACACAGCCCGCAAGAGGGCGCTGAAGTACAATGTATTTTTCATACCTATGTGCTCAGGGACTGCTTTTTCCAGGGAATACCTGTTAACACCAAGAGGTCTCTAGTGTTCAGTAGAAAACAGGATGGACAATACTAAGTTTTGGCATAATGTTGTAAAGCAAAATGTTTGAAAATAGGTGTCTTTTACAATTCTAAATTATTGAAAATTCAAAATAATATTAATTTTTTAGTTATAAAAATATTCCAATACATTTTATTAAAGGACAATTTAGAAACACTGTGCTTAGTAGTTTCATTACGTTTTATAAAGAAAATGCCTGAATACAAACAGCAAATTCAATGGTAACTGTCACTGGGAGGACAGAAAACAATGTAATCCATCCTCTCCGTATCAAGAAATGAATGGTTAAAGTAATACACATTAGTAGGATTTGTTACCTTCAAAGACTTTATTCAATTTGAATTTTTAGAACAGACTCATTAAGATAGTTTTCAGCCAAAATTCTAAGGGAATTAACATATAAATGGGATCATGTTGAAACCATTTGTATGTGTGTATGTGTGTGTGTGCACGTGCATGTGTGTATATAAGGGAGTCAGGGGGTACTAGGGATCAAACCCAGGACCTTGCACATGCTAAACACATGCTCTACCACTGAGCTATAACCCAAAGACTTTAATTTAAACTTGAGTTTTCACTTGCTACTTACTATCTCCATTTCACAATGATTTCTATTACATTATTTGTTGTTGTTGCTATCGGGTATCAAACTCAGGGCTTAGGCACACTGAATAAATGGTCTGTCTATAACTAACCTACAAATGTCCAGTCCCATTTGTAGATTCTTTTGTGCTGATCCTGGGGCTTGAATTCAGGGCCTAGGCACTGCCCCTAAGATATCTGGCTCAAGGCTAGTACTCTAGCACTTGAGTCACAGCTCCACTCCTGGATTTTTTGGTAGTTAACTGAAAATAAGAGTCTCACAGATTTTCCTGCCCAGGCTAGCTCTGAACTGAGATCTTCATATCTCAGCCTCCTGAGTAGCTAGGATTATTGTGAGCTGCAGGTGTCCAGCTTGTAGATTTATTTTTATACTCCTATCTGATTTGGAAATTACCTTGTATATAGTAAATAAGGTAGCAGGCATATTTTAAATGTCTGATTTTACACCTATGAAAGATAACCAATCTTAAAAAAAGGCTTAATTTGAAAGTCTTCTTTATTATCAGAACTAGTAACTAATATTATAGCATAGTTGCAAAGTGAAACAGCTACTTTAATCAGTGCTAGAATTGTAAATTACTTCAAATGCTACATTTTAAAGCTTATTTTAATGACCAAATATTATATACTATATAGGCTTAAATTCTTTAAATGATATTTAAAAATAAAAAATAAATGGGGTATTGGTTATTTTGAAATGTAGTTATGAAAACAAGCTGTTATTAAAAAAAAACAGAATTTGAAAGGCTTCGGACAGATGATTCTTGTTCAGCCTTTACATTTTAAAGTATTCAACCCAGAACTGGCTAAATAGAATGTTGTAAGGAACAGTCATGATGGTGAGTACTCCAAGAATGAATACAGTTCTCAAGATAGAGGCTAAGGATGCAACAGTTATCTTCTCTTCCCACAGCGATGGTCAAGTATGCCTGAAAATGCCTACGCACTTATATGAGGCATGAATAGATTGGTGAACTATAGTGAGATAAAGTCCTCACTTAGTGACTATTAAATCTGGGACGTGTTTTGAACCATGAGAATAAAAGAATGATCACACTGCTTCTGATTTCCTCATAGGAGTACAATGGTAAAAGGAACACATTTAGCTTTAGCATAGAAATTGAGGAGAGCAGCTGAAAGGCTCAGTTTTTTGGTAAGTATAGTAGATTCCCTTTATGAAGCTGGTGTTAGGAGATGGGACTCACATTTGTGCTGCAACTACCAGGTTGCACAGGACATGATTTGACCCTTGATTTATCCAACCTATGCACAGCACAATCAAAGGATGGAATAAACTTGATCTCATAAGCACACCCATTCTTCTTGGTGCCCTTGCCCAGCCAAGGAATCCCCTCTGATGACCTATCTCATGCTTCTGAGATCCTGAAGATTCAGTTGAGGTCTATGGCTCCCTGGCTGTCCTTTAGATCTCCTGTCCACTGAGATGACCATGGCCTCTCCACTACTTCGGTTCTTGACCTAAATCTAAGCTTCCACGTGGACAGTGGAGGTAACAGGTGCATGCTCAAAGTAATGTTTTTCAAACTGAGCTCTTGAAAGTGCTTCTGAGGCCACCAAAGGAGGGTGTGGTGAGAGATAAGGACTAAAGCACAGCAGAGCACTTAGGCATCCTATGAGCTATTCTTCTAGTGTCTCAGACATCAAGTTTTTACTTCAGCAGCACAAAGAGCTCTACTGCTTTGAGACACCACAGGAATCTGGGGGTAATGAGCAAAGGCTAAGCACTCAAGAATCAGAATGATTATATGCTGATAAACAAATACAAATATACATTCTCATTTCCCAAATACTTTCTTATGTACCCAGGTACCATGCTTGGCAGGGACCATGCAAATCTGAATAAAGGAAAGGCCATCCCCTTAAGATGCACCTTTGGCATAATATGTCTGCTTCCCTTGGGTCACTTGAGTATCCAACATTGGGAGAGGGTCACTAACCACATCAATAACCCTATCTTGGGAAACTGAGAGGCAAATAAACACATTTCTAGTTGACAAAATGTTGGATAAACCAATTTTTGGCAAATAATGTCATAATGGAATCTACTAAATTTAGATAGGAGAGCACTACTATAAGTGGTAGAAGCATTTGGAAAGCTTTGCTTATCATCTAGAAAACTAGTATGAAATGGCTTCTAGATACACGATCTGTAGCTACAAACAGATGAACACGTAGAACTTGCCACCTGATCAGCTTCAGCTTCAGAAGGGTAGCCATTGTGTTCTTCCTGTATCTCCTGCACAGCACCAGGTGCATGGACAAGAAAAGGCAGAGAAGAGAAAGAAAAACACGTGCAAACAGACAGGTGAAAGGACAGAATTTTTTTTTTAAGAGACAGTAAGCATGTAAAAGTTGACACACCTTTCACAGCTTTGCAACTTACAACATTTGCCCTTTGGAGTTACAGAAATAACATGTAGGCCATCTATAGTACTTTCGGCCTAAAACGGGTATCTATTCTGTATTTGTATTGGAGTAGAAAAAATTTTTAAAAAGCAAACAAACATGTATTTCAAAAGATGTACTGGCTTCTTAAAATCAAACAACACTATAGCATATAGCAAAGAAACAAAATAATGGGCACACCATGGGTTCATAAAAAATAAAACATACCACGAAAACCAGTTAAAGGCCAAAGTCAAGCCAAAATACAAAGCAGTTTATAGACAAGTATGTCAAATACAGTAAGCTTGTGTTCACTAACCCCTCCCCCCACTATATTGGCCAGAGATAAATTTCACTGTACACATGCACATATCACATGCTGGAGATTATATATATGTATATATGTTTGCTTAATTATTTATTACAAATCAAACACTGACTTAAAATTAGTATCACATTAAATATTTCTAACTGGAATATCAACAACATGCTTCAAGGGTCACATATCTTTCAATTTTATCCAATCCCTTTAAAGATATATCACTCCTGATTTCTCCATGAAATCAATTCTTGTTTGAAACTTTCAAAACTGAACTTCAAGTCCAGCAGGTGGTATAAAAACTATGAATATCTAAAGGGAAAGACTATAACCCTTTTCAAAGGTGGCATCCAATTTCTGAGGCTATGAATATGAAACTTTGGGATAGCTGTACTTTAACTTCATAAAACTTTGGTTCCAATAACTATATTTCTTTTAAATAAAAAAGCAATCAATGACAAAGTAGCAAAGCTTTAAAAGAGTTTACTATTTCTCACCTTTTGCTTTTGTTATTAAAGTACAATAATACTTAACATATTTTATACTCATTCAGAACACTGAATTTAGTGCATCTTTTAAAGCAATGTGATTTTAAGTGTGTCCAGCTGTTTTTAATTTCCATATTACAAATACAAAGAAAACAAAGAAAATCATTATTTGACTAAAATTTTAAAACAGAAACGAATGAATTAAAAAAAATACCATAAAGTACTTCCAAGTCCATGCAAGAGAAAAGCCAAACACTAATCTTCAACAATGTGAATCAATGAAAGAAAATGATTCCCACAACAAAAGAAAACATGGTCAAAACAATATTTAAAAGGTACACCTAGCAGGGCACTGATGTCTCACACCTGTAGTCCTAATAATAATCTGAGGATTGTGGTTTCCAGCCAGGGTACGGAAGTCCATAAGGCTCTTATATCCAACAAACAAACGAACAAAAAAGTTGGAAGTGGCACTGTGGCTCAAGTGGTAGAGTACTTGCCTCGGGCCAAAAAAAAACCAACTCAGGGACAGTGCCCGGGCCCTGAGTTCAAGCCCTAGGACCCACACAGGACCAAAAAGGGGAGAAAGGGGGAGGAAACCGAGTAACAAGAATTTGGCTTAACCTGATTATTTTGTACTACTTCATTGGCGTCAATAAAATTGAAAAATTTTAACTGACATCGTTAAAGAATACTGTCAAAATTCACACTGTTTTCAGTTAATAGAATTAGGTTAATTTTCAATGTCTGATACTAAGAGTTAAATGCATGCACATTACCAATCTTTGTCTTGCTCTATGAATATTCTGAAATAAAGGGAAGGAAAATTGTGAGGAAAAGATCAGCTATAATTTACTATTGTTGAATTGTTAAAAATATTAACTAGGATTGGCTGGGCTAAATTTTTCTTCAATATAAGCACTTATGCTTTTGGGATTCAACATGCAAACACAAACATGACTGAAAATCTTACTTGGAGAGCATAGAGAGCATATGACCACTTATTTGGTGGTTCAATTCTATCAAATGAATCACACCATGGGCAAGGCTGGAGAAGGCCTGGGTAGGCTTAGACATTTACATAATCCCTGCCAAGAGCCTTCATTTGGTCAGACTTCATGTAGGACAGGGAAAGTCAGTATCGCACACTAGTAACCACGTTAGCAACCTGCCCTCACACACATTGGATTTTACTGCACATAAAAACATCATAACAAACAAAGCATTTGTAGTGAACACTTAAAGCTATGACACAGCAGAGCAAATTGATCTGAGTGACTCATAAGAACCAGTGAGAAGGTAAAGGCCACTAAATAGACTAAGTGTTCCATAAAGCACAGACATACACAAGTAGGAGGCCCATCTGCCAAAAGCCAAATATCCTTACCCTTATATCAGGCCTCCTGAAAACCTGTTAGTTAAAATACAGAACATCATCATCTATTGACCTGTAAAAGATGCCATTAAATTTAACTTCCCATTCCCTAAGAAACATCCCAATCCTCTATATAAGGAGAAGCAAGCCAATCCTAATGTATTTGCCCTTGAATTATCATTTAATATCAAATCAATTCTAACATGTTTGTCTTGTATTTTTTTCAGGAAAGTCTATGACTTGAAGAAATGTATCAACTTTTGGCTAAGACAAGCCACATTATTTTAAAAACCTCTCCTCAGTCAAGTGCTGTTACAAGCTATCATGACCAGGCTGTGTTTTGAAAAGTTCATTTGTGTTTCTGTTTGGAATATGGACTGCATTTTCTACATAGCAATGCTGAAATAAAAAAGGCACTTTTGCTCCCAAACCAAGCCACAAAAACAAATAAAAAATTAAACTGAACCACAGAAATTGTTCATTGGACCCAGAGCACAGTTCAGCTATAGTGTTAAGTAACAGTATCATAAAACTGAGGTAATCATAAAGTTTAACATAATTTATATTGACATTACTCTTTCAATGAATACTTGGGACTCCCTAATTAAACTTCCTGATTTGCTTACCAGACTAGGAGCAAGATGTCTGTTCTAATGGACTTAGACAATGAAGGGAAAGCTCTGGGGAGGAAGTGGTAGTGGCTCATCCCAGAAGGGATGGGAACTCCCCCTCTATTCAACTGGAACCCTGACTTCAGTAACATGATTGCTGCTCCTGAGGCACATGAACCCTAATAGCAGAGGAAACAGCGCACAAACGGATCAAACTCTTGGGGAACACTTTAATGATCTTTGTACCCTAGTCCAAAATCTACGATCACAGCATCTAACCACCGAGTGCTGTTTTTTTTTTAAATACAAAATCAAAAAAGACACTTATCAGAGTTTCTTAATGACTTTATGGTTTTACTCAAGAGGTATGAGATCACATGAATATGAACATACAGACCTCAAAAAATACCAGTGTATCATCTATTAAAATACTCTTTGAAGTCAAAAAGGTCTTCTGAATTACATGGCACTGTACTGCAAAAGAAATTAAGGTCTATAAATTCCTAAACAGACTGTTTAGATTAAGCAGGTTTAATCTGGAAAGGGCTATTTATCTTAATTATTGTGATAGTTTCATGAACACACACATATGTCAAAACTTATCAAATTGTAGGCTTTAAATATGAGGAGTTTATCACTTGTTAGCTATACCTCAAGAAAGCTGACAGAAGCAAATAAAACTGCTACATGTTTATGGTAATTAAAAGCTCAAAAGAGAAAGCCTTCCACCCACAGACAACTATACTTAACTAGACTCAGTTTGTAATTCCTTTGAGAATTTCCTGTCACTATACACATGATTTATCACCTTGACCTCTAGTTTTAAAAAATGAGAAAATAAACTTTCTCAAACTACTTCCTCCCTTTTCCCAGTCTCTGCTGACTGAGTTTATTTTTTAATTCTTCTGTCATTTTCTTTGAGAAACAGCTGCAGAATAAAGTGTTCGAAACTTTTATGTTCAAGCTACTTAACATTTTATACATTTTAACTCATTTTATTCTTGTGAGAACCTGTGAGATTAAATGATTATTGGCCCTATTTTTTTTTTTTTGAGAAAAGCAAGACTTTTTGGTAGAGAACTATCATTTCGACCTTGGCATTGTGATTAGACTTGTGACCTGACAATGTTGTAGGGTCTCTGCACACAAATTAGAAAGAGAAATTCTACTTTGACACTTCGAAAGTACACAGGGAATCTTAACTCTCTTCAAGGCTTGTTGAAGAAACCAACATCAATACTCCTTCCTTCTCCTTGCTTCCCCTTTCCATCTGAAATCTTCTATTCCAACATGCTGGATTGTTTGCACATTTTTTCTGTGACTACAACTTTTAATGCTTTGTCTGAAAAACCACAGTTAACACTGTAATCTAAAGAGCAGCATACTCAATAATATTTTTACAGAAATAAGTCCACTGCAGAACCAAGCAGGACAACGGAGCCTCATCTATGGAACACATAACTCCTTGTCAAGGAGCCTTTGTGGAAGGAGAAAGAAACCTGAAAGTTCAGGGCTGGGAAGGTGGCTCAGTGGTAGAGTGCTTGCCTTGCTTGCCTGAGGCCCTGGGTTCGATTCCTCAGCACCACATAAGGAGAAAAAGCCGGAAGTGGCACTGTGGCTCAAGTGGTAGAGTGCTAGCCTTGAGCTGAAGAGCTGAGGGACAGCGCCCAGGCCCAGAGTTCAGGCCCCACAACTGGACCCCCCTCCCCCCCAAAAAAGAAACCTGAAAGTTTGCAGAAAGAGGGATGATCATCAGGTTTACACTCACATAATTCTTCACCTGCTTTACAGAAATCCTCAGTGCTCTAGGCATGAGAAGAAAGTCCATGGAGGTTTTTCCAAAAATGTCTGTGTTTCTCTCTGCTTCTTTCCTGAAATAAACCCTTTCTGGTACACGAAGAAGTTTTCATTTGGATTTGAATCTTATTTTCATGGACGCCAGAGGACAGAGTAGTATTTTGAAGTCAGGAGGTCTAGGGACACCTAATGTCTGCTTTCAGGCTTCAGTGGATGGGATGACTACAAGGCCCTGGCCAGTTCTAAAATTCTAAGTGTGGAGTTATTTAGGCCTCATTAGAAGATTTCAGAAAATCTCTCCCAAACTGACACTTTAAAAGGCAACATGGAATTGTGGTTAAAAATGCAAGCTTCTGAATCACATCCACACCCTATGGCTTAACTGGCCACAAGGCCTCAGACCAGCCACACACTGAAGTCTTGGTCTTCTCTCTAAACAGGTGATGCACAACGCACCTCCAACACAGCTTGTTGGGAGGGCTACGTCAGTTAGGATCATTCTACCTGGGGTGGGATAAGTAGTTGGTAGATCTCAGCCGCCCCCAACTTGTACCACAATAATCCTTACATACCCGCATCCTTTCCTTATCTCCTATACATGGCAAGAACCTACAAAATGTAATTAATAACAAGAATAATCTAGCCAACAGAACCATGATACTATTCAAGTTGACTCAATATTTACCAACCCATGCCACACTCTAAATGGTTTTTAGTAAATCTAGAAAAGGCAATTGAACTGTGTGTGAAAGTTGTGGTAGGAATACAACTTGCTTCCCCTGTCCCAGCCTCCCTTTATATCCTCCTTGGAAGTTCTCCCAACCTATGCAGAGAGGTGAGGGCTTTATACAGATGGGATTTACATGATAAAGAAACACTTGGAGACTACACCCTTGTCTCACCAGCCTCTGAAGAACTCCCTTGGCTGGGCACCACCCCAAAAGGGGCCACAGTTGTCCAGGGTTGCCTGTGGTTGTGTTTAGCTCTGGGACTGCACAACCAGGCCAGGCCTTGCTCCAAGCCAGCTTGGAAGAATAAATTAAACTGATGCTGTAGTCTAAATCTGTTTGGCTCCTGTTGGTTTTCTGTTTTGTTTTTCCTTTGGTTTTGTTTCATGCTAGGATGGAACAAAGAAGCCCTGTCCATGTTATGCGAATGCTTTAACACTGAGCTATACCCACAACCTATATCTTAGTTCTTAATAAGGTAACAACTGACACCCTTAAACCAGAAACTAAAGTTTTCAAACACACACGGTACTAGTATTATAAATAATAAGCTCACACTATACCACGTACCAAATTAACTGCCTTACAAGGTTTGTCAATCCTCCTAGTAACTTATATGAGCAATGGGAAAGTGAGGCAGTAACAGGTGAGATAATCTGCCCCATACTGTACATCTACCAACAGAATAGGGAATCAAACAAAAGCTGGCTGGCTTCATAAAGCATGCAGGACCCATTCCTCAATTTACCTTCACAAGTTTTTTGCCTCATTGAAGGTGCTGACGGGAACCTAAAATGCTAACTCCCACCAGGTCCTGTTGTACCCCCTCCTTTTTTGTTGACTCGTCTACTTAAGCACTTGACGCTGTCTGACATGTACCATAATTTTCTGTGTCTCTTTGCTTCACTAACTTCAGCCTGGCCCTACCTCTTACATCATGCAAAGGTGTTCACACTGGGTTCCTGCAAGTAGTTTGCTCCTTTTATATATAAAAATGATTGTAATGATACTTTATATTAAATGAGCATTTATGCTCCATACATATATTGCCTTATTTAACATAGTCAATCTTCTTTGCAGATAAACCATGGTTAAGAAATGTGCTAAGTAACTGGGCCTCATAGTAAAAAGTGCTCCAAGACCAATTTTATAATCATTTAGATAATTCAATAATAAAGTTACTAAATCAAATAAATATTATATATATGTTTTGTTTTGTTTTGTTTTTTGGGTCCGGTCGTGGGACCTGAACTCTGGGCCTGGGCACTGTCCCTCAGCTCTTAGGCTCAAGGCTAGCACTCTACCACTTGAGCCACAGCACCACTTCTGGATTTTTTCTTTTTGCTTATGTGGTGCTGAGGAATCGAATCCAGGGCCTCATGAATGCAAGGCAAGCGCTCTACCACTGAGCCACCTTCCAGCCCCGTCAAATAAATATTATATTTTAAATTAATGAATCATCTTTGAGTTCATACATTAGTGCTTCTATTCAAGGAAACATTATAATACTGGAATTAAAACACCAGTGTTTTCTTAGGTATAAAGCCTATATAATTTTTTTTAGTAATCAGATCACTACAAAGAAGCTTTTAAAAAGGCAGTTTTAGCTTGGTACTGGTGGCTCATGCCTGTAATCCTAGCTACTTAGAAGCCTGATATCTGAGGATAGTGGTTCAAAACCAGCCAGACTCTATCCCCAATTAACCTCAGAAAAAGCCACAAGTGGCACTGAGCTCAAGTAGTAGAGCGCTAGCCTTGAGCAAAAGGAGTGTTCAGGCCCAGAGTTCAAGCCCCAGAATGGGGAGGGAAAAAAAGCCAATTTTACTCTGCTAGGAAGTCCAAACTGTTCCATCAGAAGATGGTTCTGGGTAGAGTGAAACTGAACTTTTTTTTTTGGAGC